CTTCTCCATCTACTTGTGTATGTTCCGCATGCCATCTCATTGATGCAGCTGTCCTTTCAGATTGATAAAGCCGTTTTAACCTATAAGTTATAGGGAGATACCACATACGTTGGTACGGTATCCTTTTACGTCCACCAGTTTGCGGCCTATATCTTGGTTTTTGGCAAAATCGACATTCCTCCAGCTGATCATCATCTTTCCAAAAAATCATACAATTGTCAACACATACATCTATCATCTCAGAAGGTAGACCAAGATTAAAAATCAACTTCTGAATTTCATAGTATGTTCCCGCTGCCAAGTTATCCTCCGATAGATACTCCTTCAGAAGATCAGCCCAATCATCCATGCAAACCTCAGCCAGGTTATGATCTGTTTTAATTGACATCATCCTAGCTGCCAACGATAATTTAGACAAGCCTTCTCTACATCCTTCGTAGATTGGCTGATTAGCATTGTCTAACAAATCATAAAATAGTTTGGCATCTACATTAGGCGTCAACATCATTACCCGTATGCGTTTCATGAAATGCATCAGTCACCATTTCGTGCATCCTATCATGATCTACACTTTGGTCATATTGATACTGATTAGGCTGATGACCATAATTCGATTCATCAATATCAACATGACTTTGATAATTACTACTACTACCAGCATTCCCAGTATTACTGCCATATCCTTCTCCATGTAGATACCAAACAAAATATTGCGGCATAAACCCTCTATTTAATAAATGCGTCCACACGGTTTTGGTTAGTGTATACCTCGTATTCTTGCATTTCAAACAAGGACAAAACATCTTCCCACTATCTTTCGTTTTCTCCATATTTGTAGCCTGATACATAAATATTTCTAACCCGTTCTTGAACTCTTCTGTCAACGCCCCATCTGAATCTTTACGCATATACATCCAACTTCTTAGCTCGTATATAGACATCTTGAAAATAAACTCACAATACTATCTCTTTTTATTGATTAGACAATAAAGGAGATGGTCTCTTGTGTCACGTCTAGCCACGTGAATAGAGTAAATTAACCTTATAATATTATTACTTCTTTTTTTCAAAGTAATATAACTCTTAATTCGGGTTTCCGGCAATGGACAACCCAATATATAAGGATTTACAACACTATACTAAAATTTAAGAGACCTACAATGGGTCTTCAAGATGAAGATGCTCTTATGTTTGAATGATGATGTGTTGTGATTGAATGAAGGAATGAAGATCTATTTATAGGAAAATTTTGGGCTTTACAACGCTTTTACGACGACTTTTTACGACGGTTTTACATTCAACAATAATATTACGACGAGTTTACGACGATTTTGCGATAAAATTTTTCATCTACAATTGTTAGGTAAACATGTTTTAAATGTTTTTCACCTAACTCCTTTTTCGACGTAAAATCGTCGTAATATGTACATCGAAATGTAGTCGTCGTATATTCGTCGTAATTTTGCGACGAATTTACGACGTAAAATCTCTCGTTATCGATGTATAATCGTCGTAATTCGTCGTAAATTGTACGTCGAGTTTACGACGATTTTTTTATACGACGGTTTTACGATGGTTTTTAAATTAGACGTTAGATCGTCGTAAAATCGTTGTAAATTTGCGACGATTTAAAAACCGTCGTAATGGACCGTTGGAAAACGATTGTTTTCTTGTAGTAGTGATAGCTCTCATACCAAGAAACTCACCTTTGAAAGAATTAAAAGCCTCGTCATCATCTATTTCTCTGGTTGGGTCCAAAGAAGAGAGACGCTAATTTATTCTCAAGGAAACACCACTAATCTGGGAAACATGTATGAGCTCTTCATCAAATTGATCATCAATCCTAGGTTTAATATCATGAGGTATGTAAATTCTAGCCGTTCCTCTTTGTTTCCCCCTTCAGGTCTCATTTAGGTCTAACAGTTTGCTCTTCTTTCTCTAATTATCTTCTGTTCGGCCATGTTTGTATCGGGATGTGATAACATTCTTAGCCTTACTCTTCGTCATTACGATTTTTTTTGTGTGTTCCCATGTTGATTTTGTGTAGTTGTGTTTGCTAAGTGCAAATGTATGGTTTGGATTCTTTCTTATGTTTTCTGGTTAATTGTTAAATTTGGAAAGTTATCCTTGTCTCTAATGATTCACTATTTGATTGGTTCATCCATATATCGATTTTTGTTACACAAATGTTGATTGATTTTACTGTATCACTTATGGAGTGCACAATCTTGATGTACGGGCCTACTGGTGCAAGAAAGAGCTATACAATGTTTGGATGCGAGAAGAAATCTGGGATTGTGTACCGCTTCTTCAAAGACATTTTTCAGGATTCAGAGGATATAAATGATCTCAACTAATAATAGGAACAATATAGGGATTTGGTTGGCCAAACGGAGGACACGGTTCTAAGGTAAGTTTCTACATTCTTTTCTATTCTATGCTCGTTAGAATTGTCTATTAGAGATATTCAAGATGTATATTACTTATAGATTTTATTGTTCACGTGGACATCACATATGAAGCCAAACAATACTGCCTTTGACTTGTGGAGTTTTTGTATGATTTCTTATGCAATAGTTATGTTCATCAATAGTCATAAGCATGCACTTTGTTGTTTTCTAGGTCAGGCTTAAAGTAATTAGCAAAATTGTGAAAAACGCAACCTTCATTTCAGGGACTGAGGCTGGAAAGTTTCTATAAGAATTGTGAACGTGGAGAAACGGTGAATTGTCCAATGCACACTTTATACTGAAAGCAGCTCTCATAGTCACTGCATAGTTTGTGATTTTGAATATTCTTGGTCCATCATATTTAGCTCTATAAATTTATGTATGCTACAACTCACAAGTAATTGTTTCTCTTTGTTGATCATATTTGTGTTAACTGAGGAAAGATTCATGATTGTTGGCCTGGGTGGTTCAAAAAATATAGACCAGGCTAGACAGACTTTGTCTGAAGCAAGGATGCAGTCATGCATGCAAGTAAAACGTTTGTCTCTCTACCCTCTTAATTCATTTGATTGTGTCATAGTATTTATGTAATAGATATAAACTGACATTTTTTTCTCTGCTTAACATACAGATGTTGAGATCAACCAAGGAAATTGCCTTGACTAAAGCTCTAAATGACGAGGAAATTTGGCGACAGAAAAGTATAGAGAAGTGGCTGCTTCACGGTGACAAAAACACTAAGGTTTTCCATGGGAGTGTTAAGTCTAGACGCATGAGGAACCAGATCATTTCCTTGAAAGACACAGCTGGTGTTGAACGTTTTTCGGAGGAAGAAAAGGGAAACATTGCGGTACAGAAAGAGATATGCAAAGCTCTAAACAATCTTGAGAAGAACTACAAACCGATACTTAGTATCATTGATCAGAAGGGTAGAGGTCGTCTTGATAGTCCTCTTCATTGGATGGCCTATCTCTTGAATCCTTATTATTTTTATAAGGATTCAACTATCCAATTTGAGTGTCATTAGTGCTACTTTTAATTGTATTCATGCTTTTTTTCCAAATGATCTTGATACTCAAACCTTAGTTATCAACACTGAGCTTGCAACATACACAAAAAAGAGGGAAAATTTGGGCATCCAACAGCCATTAAAAGATATTCCAAAAATGATGAGAATTATGATCCAAGTCTGTTTGCTTAGAACTTGCTCGTTTTTTAATCTTATTCAATATATGATTATTAATCAAATGTTTTTCTTTATAGTTCAATGGTGGAATTTCTATGGAGTTGAAGTTCCAAAGCTACAAACAATGGCAAGAAAGATTTTGTCTTTGACGACTAGTTCATCCGGATGTGAACGGAATTGGAGTACTTTTGAAGGGGTATTTATTTTAAACTAAATAAACACTTTCTTTCATGAATAAATAAATATTGTGGATTTGTGTGTCTTATTTTTAAAATTTGATGTAGGTACACACCAAAAAACAAAACAGACTTGATACCAAGCGGCTGAACAATCTTGTTTATGTCCAATTCAAAATGAAACTATTGGCAAAACGAAAGAAACAAAAAGAAAAGAAAGTGGACATTCTATTGGCAGATAATGCTCTTCATGCTCAAGGTTGGATTGTTGAAGAAGCTGAAGTGGAACTAGGAGACACGTGGGAAAGTATAGGAGACGATGATGGTGTTGTTAGGGAGCTTGACGAGTCTGATTTTGATTCTGATGATGAGAAAGAAGTTGATGTGGAATTTGAATCAGATGATGAGCAAAATTTAGAGGAGATCTGGTGAAAGCTGAAGAGAACGGTGATTAAAATCATCATTAGAGATTCAGAATTTTTTTTTAGCATCAAAGATTTAGAATTTATTTATTTTTAAAAACTTAAATTGTTGGTTTTATTCTATGTTTATGTTTTATAGACTTATAGTTTATGTTTTTAACTTTTTTTCTATTCAATATTCATAGACTATTTTTTAAAACTATTTTATTATGTTATATTACATGATTTGATTATTTCATTATGTTATATTATACGATTAAATGATATCATTATTGTTCTGTTATAAAACCGCCTAGACCGTTTAAAATCGCCTAGGCACCGATTAAGCAGTCTCGGCGTTAGGCGGAGGATCGCCGCCCGCCTAGCGCATAGCAATTTTTTGAACACTGAGTTTCACACAAATCATCTTTGTCTTAGCTTTGTTTCAGTCCTCGTAAGGTCATAGAGTAGCACTGGTCTTCTGGATTTCGAATCTTTTATATTACAATTACATCATTGTTCTATTGCAGTAAAAACTAGGAGATACATCCAGTTGGAATTAAGTTTTGGTGCCGTTGCGACGGGCACCAATTCGTTACCTTTGATTTTTGATTTGAAATTCAGTCTAAGATTTTTCTAACTTGCATTCTCTTCTCGCGCGTGTTTGAGGTGTATGTCAAAAAGATCCACAAGGAGAAATTGCACCGAGGATCTTGTGACTTTTTCAAACGCCGAGCTAGCAAGAGTTGAGTGAAAAAACAGACGTTAAAAGCCTACTCAAGCCGACATGGGCGATCTGGGCAACAACAACAACATGGTAGCTGAGATGCAGCAGCTTCGGAAACAGTTGGAGCAGTTGCAAAAAGCTTAGCAAGACAGGGAGCAGCCACAACCTAATATTGAAGACAAGGACAATCCTTATGCTTTATACTAAAACAGACCTGTGATTGCTCCTCCAACCATTCAGAGACAGGATTTTGAGGAGTTTTGCAGCACGATTGGATATAATGGGATACCAACCGATTTCTTGAAGTGCAAACTTTTCCCGTTCTCACTTGCGGATAAAGCTTCGCGCTGGCTGAAGTCATTGCCACCTGGGTCATTGACTACTTGGATAGAGTGCAGATCAGCATTTTTGGAAAATTTTTGCACTAAATCCAAAACTACAGCTCTAAAGAACAAGATTTCTTCGTTCAAACAGCAACCTGGTGAAGCTTTCTGCAAAGCTTGGGAGAGGTACAAGGAGTACCCAAGAGAGTGCCCTCACCATGGGTTCTCTGATGAGCAGATTCTGGCAACTTTTTATGATGGTGTCAATTGGGATTACAAAAACGCTCTGAATGCAGCTAGCAATGGCAATTTCATGACTAAATCCAAAGCAGGTGCTTATGAGTTGATTGAGAACTTAGCTGCAAATTCCAGCAACAAATCCCCAAGAGTATGACAGATCTAGCAAAGCAGTTCATAGTGTGGAGTTGCACAAGATCGATGAGCTTACAGCGAAGGTGAATCTGCTGTTGAAAGAGAACCATAAATCTGTGCATTTTGCTAATGAGATTGGTGATACACCTCTTGCTCAAGATTTTGTAGAATGAGAGGATGATGATCAGGTGGAGGTGAACTTTGTGAGTGGATAAGGATATGTGCAGAATCGAAACTTTGGCAACTTTAGGAGTCATCCGAATCTGTCCTACAGAAGCAACAATGTTGATAATCCTCATGAGCAGGTCTATCCGCAGCAGGGAGTGCAGAATCAGTCAGGTTTTCAAAAGAACTTCTCAAGCAATTTCCAGAGGAAGCAGTTCATCACCAATCAGAACCGCTTCCAAGGTGGAAACCAGCAGAAGTTACCTTTCACCAACTCACAGCCATCTTCGAGTTCCCCAAACAACTCGCAGGATGAGCTGAAAAATATGATGCAACAGCTGTTGGTCAATCAACAAAAGTCTTGAATGGCAAGTATGAAGCAGTGTTGGTATGAAGCAGTGTTGGCAAGTATGAAACAGTGTTGACTCATGTGAAGAAGCTGGATGTTCAAGTAGCTCAGACTGCTGAAGCTGTGAAGAGACCACCTGGAACTCTTCCTAGAAAAGGTGAAAACCCCCAAAAATGAGTTTGTGAATGCTACTGAGCTAAGGAGTGCAAAGACACTTCATGCTGCACCAACAGGCGTTGTTTCAAAGAGAAGGAAGGAAAAGATTGTGGAGCAACTGCTCCAAGGAGGAGCACTTACTCATGACGTAAAAAAATGATGGAGCACCTGCTCCCGACGTAGATGAGACGATGGAGCACCCTGAGCCGACGATAGAGCACCTGCTCAAGCGAACTGTTCCAGCAAATATTCCTGCGCGAGTTTATACGCCTAAGGTACCTTATCCAGTTCCACCTAAGAAGTCCCAGAAGGACTTAGAGGAGGCAAAGTGTAAGAAGATGTTGAAGGATTTGACTGTGAAATTTCCTCTAGCTGATGCTGTCTAGATGACACCAGCCCTTAAGAGATACATGAAAAGGTTAGTGTCTGGGAAAGCTGTTGAAGAAGATAATGTCATAATGGTTTCGAAAGAGTGCAGTGCTGTGTTGCAGAATAAGGTGCTAGAGAAGATGAGTGATCCAGGGAAGTTTGTTCTTTCGGTCAGGATAGGTAATGTGCTGTTTGCACGGTCTCTCTGCGATTTGGGTTCTAGTGTGAATCTGATGTCGTACTCTGTGGCTAAGCAATTGGGTTACACTAGATTCAAACCAACAAAGATCTCACTGGTGTTTACAGACAGGTCAACCAAATTTTCTGTTGGTATACATGAGAATCTGCATGTTCGAATAGGCGATACACTTATTCCAGCAGACTTTATGGTTTTGGAACTTGATGAGGAGTCCAAAGACCCTCTGATTTTGGGTCGAACCTTCTTGTGCACAGCTGGTGCAATCATTGACGTGAAAGGAGGAGTGATAGATCTCCAGCTAGGAGACATGATGGTACGATTTCAGATGAACAAACTCCTCAAGAAACCAATGCTGGACGGGTAGACATTTGTCATTGATGATGGTTCAGACATTGCTGAAGAGGTTGCTGATGAGGTTTTGGCCATTGATCCTTTGGAGGTTGTACTCACAAAAGCCGAAGGAGAACATGGGTATCTGAGTGAGGAAGCTGATGGGTTTGCAAAGATGCTAGATGCAAGCATGAAAATGCAGAAGTTGGTGGCATACATGAGCTTGGAAGACGAGGAGAGCTCAACTGCAGAAAACGCTGATGGAGCACCTGCTCGCGACGGATCAGTTGATGGACCTTGGAGCGATTTGAGAGCTCCAAGGCTTGAGCTCAAACCCCTTCCAGTGGGGCTCAGGTACGCGTTTCTGGGATCCAATTCCACACATCCTGTAATAGTGAACTCTGAATTGAACAATATAGAGATTGCCTTGCTTCTTTGTGAACTTAGAAAGTATAGAAAAGCTCTAGGATATTCACTAGATGACATTCCAGAGATTTCTCCAGATCTTTGCATACATTGGATACATCTCGAAGATGAATCGATGACTTTTGTAGAACATCAGACGAGGTTAAACCCGAATCTAAAAGATGTTGTTAAGAAAGAGATAACGAAACTTTAGGAGGCTGGTGTGATTTCTGTGATTTCAGACAGTAATTGGGTTAGTCAAGTTTTCATGTAGTTCCTAAGAAAGGTGGCACCACTGTAATAAAAAATGATAGGAATGAATTTATACCAACTAGAACTGTTACAGGGCATAGAATGTGCATAGATTACAGGAAATTGAATGCTGCAACTCGCAAAGCTCATCTTCCTTTGCCGTTTATTGATCAGATGCTTGAAAGATTGGCTAACCATCCTTACTACTGTTTCTTAGATGGTTATTTAGGTTTCTTTCAGATCCCAATCCACCCGGACGATCAGGAGAAGACGGCATTCACATATTTTTATGGCACTTTTACGTATCGCAGAATGCCATTTGACTTGTGCAATGCCCCAGGGACATTCCAACGCTGCATGATATCAATTTTTACTGACCTGATTGAAGCGATAATGGAAGTTTTCATGGATGACTTTTCTGTCTATGGAAGCTCCTTTTCTGTATGTTTGTCTAATTTGTGCAGGGTCTTGCAGCGGTGTGAGGAGAAGCATCTGGTGTTCAACTGGGAGAAATTCCACTTCATGGTGAGAGATGGGATCGTGCTAGAACACAAAATCTCAGAGAAAGGATCGAAGTGGACAAGGCAAAGATCGAGGTGATGACGAGTCTGCAGAGGAAAGCGGCCGATACATGCCTCAACCGAGTGAACTGGTACTGTTTCATGCCTGTACTTTTGAGCTGTGCCCACATGTACCTGAACTCTTTAAATTGTGTATAATCATGCCCAAACCTGTTTTTTTTTTGCCATTTCCTGCATTGACTTTGCAACCGTTAGTCAACCCCGTCAAATTGTTAACGGGGAATGACTCAGCTGCCACGTTGGAATCCCTGTTGGAACGAAAGCCTGTGCATTTTTTGATACGACGTCGTTTTGGAAATGCTTAAAAAAAATTTTGTAGCCGTAATGGATCGAACACAACACCACTACCATAGAAGCAAACCCAGAAACCACTAGACCAATTGAATTATTTGATATTATATCCAAACCTTATGAATATATTTACACTTGTACAACTATAATTAAAAAAAAAACAAACACGACTGCATACCCACCATCGTAGAAAACCTTACCATCTTCGCAATTCACAAATTTTCCACCATAATATATGATGAAGACACAATCCAAGTCATCGCTGGAAAACGAATATAGAATTGTTTTAACACATGAATTTAATATTGCAAATGATTAAAAAATTCAAGAGCAATATAAAATTTCAAAATCAATTTGTAATCTAAACCCTAGAATGGAGAAGTACCTCATTTTTTTAGGGAAATTGAGACCCCAGATGTTAATTTTCGAAACCCAAACTCGGAATGCCTTCAAATTCTTCTTGACAAAACGATTTTCCCCAAAATCATCCACAGGTGCGTCGATTCAAGCAATTTGCTTCGAGTCTTTGAGTTGATTTAGGACTTAGAAATTTCCGTCGAGGAAAAAGAAATAACAAGAAGACTTAAACGATGTCGTGTTTGTTTTTTTTTAAATTATAGCTGTACAACTGTAAATAAATATTATAAGCTATCGATAGAAAACCAAATTACACAATTGGTCTAGTGGTTTCTGGGCTTGCTTCTACATGTGGGATCTTGGGTTCGATGTCCCGTGGAGACAAAATTTTTCGTGTTTGTTTCTTTGTTTAATTATAGCTGTAAGAGTGTAAATATATTCATAAGGTATGGTTACAATATCAAATAATTCAATTGGTCCAGTGGTTTCCGGGTTTGCTTCTATGGTAGTGGTGTTGGGTTCAATCCGTTACGGCTACAAAATTTTTTTTTAAGCATTTCCAAAACGACGTCGTATCAAAAAATGCACAGGTTTCCGTTCCAACAAGGATTCTAACATGGCAGCTGAGTCATTCCCCGTTAACAATTTGACGGGGTTGCAAAGTCAATGCAGGAAATGACAAAAAAAACCAGGTTTGGGCATGGTTATAGACAATTTAAAGAGTTCAGGTACGTGTGGGCACAGCTCAAAAGTACAGGCATGAAACGGTACCAGTTCACTCGGTTGAGGCATGTATCGGCCGCTTCCCCCGAGTCTGCAGCCACCGACATCAGTCAAAGGGATTCACAATTTGCTGGGTCATGCTGGATTTTACAGGCGCTTCATCAAGGACTTCTCAAAGATCGCTAAACCTCTGACACAGCTGCTGTGTAATGATGTGAATTTCGAGTTCAATGATGCATGTTTGGGAGCATTTCATACAAAATGAGCTTTAGTCAGTGCTCCAATTGTCCAGCCACCAGATTGGGAGTTACTTTTTGAGGTCATGACTGATGGTAGTGATTATGCAGTGGGAGCAGTGCTGGGTCAGAGGAAAGTAAATAAACTCCATGTCATCTATTATGCCAGCCGAACACTCGACGAAGCTTAGTGCATATATGCCACAACTGAGAAGGAGCTTTTAGCAGTAATTTATGCCTTTGAAAAATTCAGGTCTTACTTGTTGGATTAAAGGTGGTTGTCCACACTGATCATGCTGCGCTGAAGTATCTCTTGACAAAGAAAGATGCCAAGCCAAGCCTCCTTAGATGGATTCTCTTACTTCAGGAATTTGACTTGGAGATCAAAGACAAAAAGGGGGTTGAAAATGGTATTGCAGATCACCTTTCAAGGCTGAAGATTGATGATGACATGCCATTAGATGACAGCCTCCCTGATGAACAAGTTTACGCTATTGATGTTTCTGGGTTCGACGAGCACCTGCTCCGACGAATTTCTGCAATTCAGTTGAAGTAACTCGCCATTATGGTTTTCTATGGTTTGGAGAGATTGCAAACTACATTGCTGCAGAGCAGGAACCTGCAGATTTCATAGGAAACAAGAAGAAGAAGTTTCTAAGGGATGTGTAGTACTATTTTTGGGATGAGCCTTACTTATACAGGCATTACTCTGATGGAATATTCAGGAGATGTGTAGCTGATGAGGAGATACCAGGGGTGCTGGTTCATTTGCCATGGGTCCTCTTATGCAGGTCACTTCGCCACTTTCAAAACAGTGTCGAAAATTCTCCAAGCAGGGTAGTTGTGGCCAACGATGTTCCGAGATGCAGCGAGTTTTATCTCCAGATGTGACACATGTCAGGGGCAGGAGAACATTAGTAGGAGAAATGAGATGTCTCAGAACTTCATTTTGGAAGTGGAGAGTTGTGATGTGTGGGGTATCGACTTTATGGGACCATATCCATCATCTTATGGGAATGAGTATATTCTGGTGGCAGTTGACTATGTGTCAAAGTGGGTTAAAGCTCTGGCTAGCCCCACAAATGACGCAAAGGTGGTTTTAAAGATGTTTAAATCTGTCATTTTTTCCAGGTTTGGTGTGCCGCGAGTGGTGATCAGCGATGGAGGTTCTCAGTTCATCAACAAGATCTTTGAAAACTTGTTAATGAAAAATAGTGTAAAGCATAAGGTGGTGACCCCATACCATCCTTAAATGAGTGGGAAAGTTGAGATTTCCAACAGGGAGACCAAGAACATTCTGCAGAAAGCTGTAAGCACCACAAGGAAGGAATGAGCGGTGAAGCTTGATGATGCTCTTTGGGCGTACATGACAGCTTACAAAACACCTTTGGGGACTACACCATTTCACTTGGTGTATGGAAAAGCATGTCATCTTTCAGTGGAACACGAGTACATAGCTGCTTGGGCAGTGAAGCTCCTGAATTTCGATGCCAAAAGTGCTCAGGAGAGGAGAGTGATGCAGCTGCATGGAGATTAGGCACCTGGCCTATGAAAACTCGAAGATTTACAAGGAGAGGACCAAAGCTTTCCATGACAAGAGGATCCTCAACAGGAGTTTTGTACCAAACGATCAGGTGCTACAG